AAGTGGTCGACGAGCGCTGAAGAGTGGCTTATTTAGTCGCAAATGGTTGAGAGTCGTCTGCAAAGCAGCTCACGGCGTGTGTTGTCGAGTCGATCTGGAGGCCGTCCTGGGCGTGGTCGGACGGTAGTTGGCAGGACAGTCCCGGTGGTCCTTCTTGTGCAAGAGGATCGTCGTGCCTTGGACTTGTTACGGTGTCGCCAGCGCTTTTTCCATGCTTTCGTTATGGCGCTAGCATCTGCATGTCATTTCGAGCCGGACGTTGTGTCAAACAGGTATAACGTTAGCCTCTTCTCTGCCGCTTGTTGGCGTGCCAAGTACCAAACGTTATTGAGACCTAGACTTAGTTGCACCACCGCGTCGCGCTCGTCAATGGCTTGGTCTATGTAGAGAAGTAAAAGAATATGCGTAGGGCGCCGATCAACCAAGAACCGGCCATCACCGCGTTCACAGCCCTCGCAGCCTTGCCGTTGGAACGGGGCCCGCGCTTTGCTCGGTACGTTGCGTACCTGAACGAGGGAGATAGCCTCTGCTGTGATCGCATGCAGCCTATCGACAAGGGCCTCGTCAACGTGCTTGTGGCTACCCGGGTGCGCTCGACAAGACAACGCTGACGCCGATGCAAGCGCTCGTTCTGGAAGAGCACTTGCGCTATCCCTTGCTGGGCTCCCGGTCGCTCGCTCCGTTGTCGTCACGCACAAGCATCTCGTCTCGACAGACTTTGCGTCGCGGGTCGTGACGCATGTCTTGGCAACCAATGGGATGCGAGATGGCGTTTCGTTGGGGCGTCGGACAAAGCACCAACGGTCTAGTCCACCTGTGCGACCAAGCCAAAGGCCGTTGGCCATTTCGATGAATGGCGATCTTGCATTTTACACTTGGCTGTGATGGCGGACGATGTTCAAGCGGCTGCGTCGGACGACGGCGCAGCGTCGACAACCTGGGCGGTTACCTGGGCTACCGAGTCCGGGGTGCAACGCCACCAGTGGAGTTGGGCGCATCGGTTCGAGGCGATGTGCTTGTATCGACAAGCACACGGTCATATGAAGGTGCCACAGCTGTACGTCGTGCCAACGTCGTACCCACAGCACTTGCACCACCTGCCGCTTGGTCTCGTGGTCTGCAAGCTGCGCTGTCGAAGCATTGCTTACACGTCCGAACGAGTGCAACGAATTAGCGACCTCGATGCGCTCGGATTCCTCTGGCGTCTGTCGTTCAAGAATGCGACGTTTTGCGTCGTGCACCGGCCGGGCCAGCAAGCGCCCTTGGCTCAAACCGTCGCGTGGTCGGAGCAGATCGAGGCGCTTCTCGTCTTTCGGCGTCTGCACGGCCACGTCAATGTGCCCGACGGGTTCATCGTACCGCCCGAAGCGGACGTGTGGCCGCTTCCGATGCATTACGTCGCTCTCGATCTCGCGCTCGCGTCGCTGCGCGCGTATGTCTACGAGCTACCCGAGGCCGACGCCGACCGGCTCCGTGAGGCCGGTTATTTTGCCGATCTGCCCGACTTTTGCTCGTTTATTGAGCTGCTCGCCATCTACCGCGACGAATTTGGCTCTTGCGCCGTGCGCATCGACTTTGTCGTTCCTCGGATGGGCGGTCTCTGGATCAACGCCTGGCGCGGCTTGGCCCTCGGCGATCTTGCGTGGTCGGTCGGCTTGAAGGCTCGGGCGCTCAAGGCTGCACAGCACGACGACCTGCAACTAGCCGGCTTTGTCTTCAACGTCGACGCGACGTGGGCCAACATCGTACGTGGTCTCGAGCACTTTCGATCTCTGTACGGTCCACTGGCGGTCCCAACGAGCTTTGTGGCTCCAGCTACGTGGCCGAGCGACCTCGCCGGACTGCGCCTTGGACACTATGTCGAGCGCATGCACACGGCCAAGCGACTGCGTCTGCTGCCACATACCACAGCATCAACCTTTGCAGCGCTCACGCAGATTCCGCCCGTCGCCTCATCGTTGTGGGCACCCCCGCGCGATGCAAACGCACGCGTTGAGGTTCTGCAGCAGCTCCGAGACGTTGTGCGGGTCGTCCGTGACGTCCATATTGCCGTGCCAGACGAATTTGTCGTGCCCGCGAGTGGCTCTGCGTGGCCAGCAGACAGTGGCGGCGTTCAGCTGGGTGTGCGTCTGCGCTGGTTTTGGCAACACAAGCAACTCTCGCTGCCCGTGTGCGACGAGATCCGCGCTCTCGGCGTCCGAGTCGCCAACCGCAGCGCCATCACGGATGAGCTGCCACCCACCGCGCCAGCACCGAAGTCCCGCACTTGGACGACCCACGACATGATGTGCGCCCTCGGTTTCTATCGACTTTTGCGCGGGTCGGCTCGCGTGCTCTTGTCGTATCCGGTTCCGATAGCATCGCCATGGCCGCCGCAGCTCCAAGGTGTCCCAGTCGCCGTCTTTGCAAAAAACCTTCGCTATTATCCCCGAGTGCTCGACGACAAACTCGAGGTGCAGCTCAAGCTCGTGGGCTTCTCGTGGCCGACGTTTTGGGTTCCGTCTACCCGCTGCGTCAAGCGTACGACGCGCGATGCACTTGCTGTCGGGATGGTCCCGATTGCTGCGCAGGTCGCAGCCCTTCATACGTATCAGTGCCTGGTCGGCGACGTGCTTGCGATGCCAAAGGGCTTTGCTGTACCTCTGAACGACGCCGCTTGGCCAGCTGGCAGTAGCGGCATTGTGCTCTCGTATGTGCTTCCGTCGCTGCGATACCACTGGTTTGAGCTCGCACCAGAAGACGAGGCAACCGTCCGAGCGTTGGGTCTCTTTACTGACGTTCCGCCCTTTGACGTCTTTGTCCAGCTGGCCTTTCGTCTCTCCTGCGATGGCAAGACGACCGTACCGCTGGACTTTGTGGTGCCCGCCGAATGGTCGGCGTCGTGGCGTGGCGCACCGCTGGGCGAGCTCGCGTGGTCGCTCGGTGTGCGCATGGCGCATCTCAAACTCGCCAAGTCAAACCAGCTGGTGGCGATCGGCTTCGAGTTTAACTCGCCTGCGACGTGGGCGCACATCGTGGACGGATTGCGCACGTACCACTCGCTCTGCGGCTTGACGGACGTGCCAGAGGACTTCCTCGTGCCTCAAACTGCCAGTTGGCCGAAAGACATGCACGGCATGCGCCTCGGCCATTGGGTCAAGTTGCTCGTCTCGGCAAGAGAGCTCTACTTGCTGCCGGCCACGACCACCACCGCAATCGATGCCATCGGAGCCGATGCTCCAATGCCAGAAGCTGTGTCAATATCGGTGGGCGTGAACGCGGCGACGCCCGCCATCTCTGCGGCCGCAACCAATGATACCATCGGAGCTGACGCTCCGCCGCCAGTAGCTACAACATTGTCAAGCGACGAGAACTCGGCGGCGCCAGCCATCCTTGCCTCGGCAGCCACCACCACGGTCGTCCAACCAGCCGTCATCGATGCGCCGTTGCCAGTAGTCGTCGCTGCGCCGTTGCCAGTAGTCGTGCGACCGTTGCCAGTCGTCATGCCACAGTTGCCAGCAGTTGTACCTCTGCCAAGCGTCGCTGAGGAGCAGCCGGCAGTACAAGCAGCTCCCGCGCTCGCTGTTGACGCCGACACGAACGAGCGCTGCGACCACCTCGTTGCGCTGGATCTGTGGCTCCACGCGACGCCACGCCCGAGCGATTTGACGCTCCTCGGCTCTTTATCGCCAGCTTGTCCGGTCGCACTGCAACCATTGTCGGTGGGCGCATTTTTGCTCGAGCTCGAAGTCGGACAAGCGTTTACGCATCTGCAGTCGGCCCTCGACGATCGGCAATTCGACCGCCAAGCTCGGTGGGCGATCAAGTTCCAGGCGCTCGCTATGTTCAAGGCGTTCAACGGGCATTTGGACGTACCTCGTACGTTCACAGTCGATGCCAATGCCACCTGGCCAGCGCCAACACACGGCCTACGACTCGGCGACGTTGTGTTTGGGTTGCGCCGCCTCACAACAGCCGAGGTCGTACCGGCGATTGTTGCTCAGCTTGATGCACTTGGCTTTGGATGGGCCGCTTTGCCCGTGGCCGTCGCGACCGACGCTGCATTACTGCCCGCGCCGGAGCCGCCAGCGTCCATCGTGGAAGCAGTGCCAGTGGCTCCCGTGCAAAACGCGACTGCCTCGGCTCGGGGCGCCTCGTCCAGTACTCCCGCCGACGTGAAAGGTGGCTTTGATCGTGACGACGACAAGCAGATCGACAAGACGGCCATCAAACGCAGCAAGCCGAGCAAACGCAAGTGCTACGAAACCATCGATCTCTGCAGCACCGATGACGACGACGACAACGACAACGACGGAGACGACGGCGCGGGAATCGACTACGACGTCAAAGACGACGGCATCATCGATGCGATGCCGGTGCAGGCGATCCGCACCAACGTCCGCCGCCGCCGCCAAAACAATACGGAGACGACGGCGTCCGTTCGGCGCCGACTCGCAAATGAGTGGGGCCCACCTCGTGGCCACCATGTCTTTATGCCAACGCAGCCCATCGACGACGAGTTTCCGTGGCGCAGTTGTCTCGGCGAACTCCGTCGGTTCTTTATCAAGCACGAGCACTCGAACGTCCCGTTCACGTACGTATCGGAAGAGAACAACGTGCCGCTGGGACGCCTCGTGCACCAGCTGCGGCAAAGTCAAATTTACTTGACAGAGTCCCATCTGGACGAACTGCGGGCATTGAAGTTCATGTGGCAGCTTTTCGATTAACGTTTTTTTTTTTTCTATTTCTCATTCTCGTTCTAGTCGTACTGGGTTCGTGTTGATTTGGGTTGTGGTTGTGATTGTGGCTCTCTTGATTTTTATTTTTGTGTTGGTGTCGGTGCGGCAGCTGAGGCTGCGTGAACTTGAGGTGGATTGTCCTTCTGCTACTGCTGGGGAGCCTCCCGGTTGCGGTTATCGTCCTCGGGCCATTGTCGTTGTCGACGCAAGGCTTTGGCTTTGGGCTTGTCGCTTTTGTTTGTTTTAGCTGTCGCTTTTGACTGTGTAGTGTTGCTCTTGAGTGTGCGTGGGCACGGTCCCCCTCCTTTCCGGGGCTTCGGACGGTTTCGGACCCTGGGTTGGTTGTTCAAACGGTTTCCTAGAAAGGAATCCCAATTGCTTCCACGTCGTCAACTCCACCCCGTACAAAGGTGCTCCTCGGGACAACCTCCATGCACCGACGTCAACCGAGGAGATGCGTCTGGCCAGCGAGGACCGTCGACAAGATCACTGCAGCCATCGCCGACGAAACGCAGTTGACCACCAATCCAGACGACGAACTGCCACCGCCAAAGCGACTCCGCCTCTACTTCGGTGGTTAGTTGATCATCATCCAAGTCTAATCACAGTGATTTTTCACTATATATTTGGCTCTAATGAAGAAGAAGGAGAATGCTAGTCTTTACGTATGCCAAGTCTATGCACGAAGATAACGTTGATATATATATACTTACCTCTTCTGGCGCTCATGCGATGCTGCAGAGCGCTTGGGGTTGGGGTAGTTCGCGATCATCCTTGGCAAAGAGCGCCATCCGAACCGCCGTATCCGGATGCTTTGGCGACCGGATACGTGGCAAGCTAAATTTTGAGCGATGGCGAAGAAGCGGCGTGGTGGCAAGAAGGCAGCGACCAAGCCCAGCGTCGGCGACGTCAAGCTCTACGAGGACACACTGGCGCGCCTCCAGCCGCGCGTCCTCAGCACGCCCTTCCTCATGTTCGACCTCTCCATGCACATGGAGCCGCTTCTGCGTATCAATGCCGACGAGGAGCTCGCCTGGCCACTCGGCACGGACGAGGCCAACCACATCATCTCGACGTTCGGCGACGGCTTTCTCCTCGGCCTTGTGCCTGCGAGCCGCCTCTCCCTCGAGGATCCCGCGTGGCGCGACGAGCTTGAAGGCCATGTTCGAGAGACGGTGCAAGGCGCGTTCTTGTCGTCTGGCTCGTTTTCGTTGCAGCTGGCGCACTTGGCGGTCGACGCCGCCGGTAGCCGCGAGAGCCTTGTGCCAGCGTCGCGCCCGCCCGGGACGTTTGCGACGCTCTGCATTGCGCTGCCGGCGTGGCACGAAGGCGGGCCACCAACCTTTGGCGACGACAACACGCCGTGGTACGAGACGCCGCCATTGACCCAGGCGCGCTGCGTCGTCTTCCTGCCCAATACGCCTATCGTCGTGCCCAAGGTATCATTAGGTCAGCGCGCTGTGCTTGTGTACCATCTGATCCGCGATGGCCCGACGAAGCTCATCCAGGACACGGCCGACGCGCTGGCGACACTCGCGACGCGGCCGTCGCCCAAGATGCACGTCTTTGCAAAAGCGCTCACGAACGCATCGATTTGCTCGAACAACCTTGCGCCGCTCGATAGAGCGACGCTGACTGCGCTCCTCACGTCCAAGGCCTACGACGTGATCCTTGTCGAGCACGAAGAAGCCGACGACGGGGCGTTCACGTCTGGTATCGCATCGTACGTGCCGCCGCATGGCACCGAGATTGACGCTGCGATGGACGACTGCATCGAGAGCCTCGTCATCCAAGGCCACCTCTTTGCGACCGACGAGTCGCCCGAGTGCAGCCTCGTGTTCTGGCCCAAGGCGTACCGCGTCCACAAGATGAGTCTCGCCGTCTTGAGCCGAGCGATTCTCGACGCAAGCCTCGGGACCGCCACCGAGCTCTATGGGTACAACTCGGTCGACGACCTCATCGACATTGTCCTGCCGCGGTTCGCCGACGTTCCGACGTCAAGTGACGTCATCAACATGTACACAGCCCTTGGCCTCCGTGGACGTCTCCGCATCCTGTCGTACTTCCTCACGACGCTCTGCCGCCCCACGAGCGAGCTCCTCGTCGGCATGGGCCCTCTCCTTGTCCGGGACATTCGCGTTTTTGGCTGGCCAGCGATGGCGCCGCCGCTGCTCACGATGGTCGGGCGCTGGGCGATCACGTCGAGTACCGACGCCGCCCACGGCTACCGCCTCGTTGCAAGCCTCGCCGGGGTCGCCGATGACCCGGTGTGTGACGCGGTGACGGCCGTTGGCATCACCGACTGGATCGTGGATGCATGGACGTACTTGGCCGACGGCGCGTTTGTCGCGTGCGACGCCGACGACATCAAGGCGGCCGCGACGCCGCTCATCAAACACCACCTCCAGTTGCAAGCGTACGTAGCCACGAGTTCGCTCCACGGCCGCCATCTCTACCGGTCGCTGCCGGACGTTGTTGTCGCCAAAATCGCTTTGTTTCGTGGTCCACGGTACTCGCTCGATGATTGGCTCACGACGGGCGCGGTCTCGCCCATCCATGACGTGGCACCGGCGCTGGGCGTTCTTCTTCAGCAAGGCCATGTCGACGTCGTCGCGCCGTACGCCGACGTTATTGCCGACGCGTTTGATGCGGGCGACCACGGCGACGACAGCAGTCTCTCGGTGCGCGTGATTGCGTGTCTCTTTGCCATCACGGCCCTCAACGACCGCTTCCTCGATGTGCTCGATACGATCGCCGACCGGTGGCGCCTCGCGATCGCGCCGGCGCTCGTCGCGTTCTTTCGCAAATGGCCGGCGCAGGCCGCGCCGTGGATGGCCGAGGAAGCGGCTGCATACCTGCTGTCGTTTGCGACCGACGACCGTGCGGGGTATGTCTTTGCCGACAACAAGCACAACACGGCGCTGTATATGGACGAGTACGCCATCGAAGCGTTCACCAACCCGCTCGCGATCCAACTCAACCAGTACTACTTTACTGGACTGTCGGCGGCCGACCGCACGGGCACCCATGTCCGCGTCTGGGTCGCCTTGGACGCATTTTCGTTCTTGGCGGCTTTTGCACCGACCTTCTTGTCGACGTTTGCGGCATCGTGGCTGCCGATGCAGCTCCGTCGGCCCAAGAGCGTGCGGACGACGCTCTACCACGTCGTCCTGCGCTTCTGCGACCACGTCCAAGGCCATACGGATGTGTTTGTGACGCTGGCCGAAGCGACGTTGCACGCGCTGCCATCGCCGACGGACGAGGATGATGGCGCAGTGCTGCTCGACTATGCCCTGCCGGCGCTCGTACCGGCGAAAGGCTGCTGCGATGCGCCGTGCGCGTCGTTTTTCAAGTTTCTGCGCGACCCACTCGTCGACGAGTACTGGGGCGAGCTCTGCTTGACGGCCAAGCGCATCATGCGCGCGCATCCCACGGCCTTGGCGATCCTGCCGCTCGAACACAGCGACTGGCAGAGCTGCCGGCTCGTGGGCAAGATCCGCCAAGACGGACAGCTCCCGCTCGTCGAGCTCAAGGAGCGACTGAAGCGCCGCAAGACGGTCGACGCCGAGCTGGGTCGTGTCCGCGCCGTCTCGGAGCTCCTTGCGCGCCACCGAGGCTGAGCGCATGGTGTCGTTGGCCAAGAGTGCTCTGAGGCTTATGGAAGAAATGATTTTTGCGTGTTGGTCTTGGCAATGTGCGAAGCTTTGCGGTACCTTCAACCTACGACTGGACTAGTGTAGGAGTCTCCGAGGACATGAACACCCTTACTAGGGCTGGGAGTGTACGAGCGCAATGCTTTTGATAGGCTCTGTACAGGCTCACAGGCCACAGAGGTCTCAGAGCCATTGCATCGTCGTCACTATGCAAGACACTCTGTGCACAGTGCGGCAGGTCGCAGAGTGTTCGCTGAACCTTCGTTTTGACTGGCATCGTTGCTGATTGGACGGTCTTGCATCGAAATCTTTTGCCTTTTAGCCAATCACGACTGTTTATATTTTGACGAATCACAGCGCATTTGAATCTCCAACGAACCAATCAGGTAGCGGTGCTCTATTTCCATTTGGGATGGCCACACGGGTCCGGCTGCGCCCGGCCGCGCCCACCGACGTCTCGCGCTACGAGGACGTGCTGGCGCGCGTCCGCCTCCGCGTCTCGAACGCGCTGCCACGCGTCTTCCTCTTCTCGGCGCCGATCGATCCGTGCTTGGAACTCCCGGCGAACGACCTGTCTGCCGTCGACGCAGCGTCGGCGACCGTCGTGCCAGGCCAGCATGTGCGCATTGGTAACCCGGCGTGGGACGCCGAGGTGCACGCCCACGTGCGCAAGACGATCCGAACGACGTTCGCGCCCTCGAGCCCGTTCACGATCGCGCTTGCCTACTACGCGACGAGCCTCCGCCGCTGGCCGCGCCCACGTGGCGCCTTTGGGACGCTCTGCATCGAGCTGCCTCTGTTTCCAGAAACGACCGCCGCACGCTGCGCCATTTGGCTCGCGGGCACAAACCTCCCGATCGAAATCGGCGCGTCGCCGGTCCTCGTGTACGACCTCGTCTTGGACGGCCCAGATGTGCGCAACGTCGAGGCCATCGCAGGCGTCCGTGCGTTGGCCTCTCGCCCGTCGCCAACGCAGTTCAACTTTTACAAGGTGCTGACCAACCCGGATGTCGACCGCGACGAGCTGCACCCGCGCGACGCCGCCATCACGTCCGTTCTCCTGACGTCGACCATGTACGACGTGCTCTTGGCCAACCTCGAGTGGTCGCGGTCCAAAAACTACCCGACAGTGACTTCATGGTGCGTCGCCTCGGACAGCGCCGACGTGCCCGACGCGATCTTGTCGGCGCCGCAGGCGTGCGTGCTGCAAGGCCGCATCCAAGCGACCGCCGGGCGCAGTGCGTGCGGCCTTGTGTTCTGGGCCAAGAGCCACCGCGCATACGTAGCACCGCTCTCCGCACTTGGCGATGTTATTCGAAGCGGCGGTACCGCCTTTGGCCAAACCAGTGTCGACGGGCTACTCGAGATGGTCTTGCCGCGCTTTCAAGATCCGCGCGAGATGACGCAAGACAGCTTTGGCCGCAGCGTCACGTCGTTCTACACCGCGCTGAGCGACGGCCAGCACCTTGAGTGGATCGAGCGCTTTCTCTGCGACGTGTACGACGCGCCAGTGCGCAACGAAGAGCTGACGGCGATGTGTCATCTCTTGGCGCGCGACATTGCTACCTTTGGCTGGTCGATCATGGGCCCAATGCTCTCTCGGCTACTCGAGCGCTGGACAACGTCGCCGACGAATTGGCGCCTTGCGTGCAGCTACCGCCTCGTCGCAAACCTCGCGGGCGTCTCGAACGACCCGGTGCATATGAATATGGACGCACCGAGCTTCCACGAGTGGGTCGTCGACGCGTACACAGACCTCGCCGCCGCCGCCCAAAGCGCCATTGCACAAGGCGATCTGAAGAGCGACGCTGCGGCCGCACGCTGCGTCTTGACGCACAGCTTTCAGCTCCACGCGTTCGTCACGCACCTCGAGGTGACCCACCGATGGTTCTTTGGCTCAGCGCCTCCCGACATTGTGCATGCGATTGCGTCCTTCCGTGGGCCGACATTTGACCTCGAAGCAATCGTGTCGGAGCTCTCGGAGCTGACGCTTTTGGCGCCGACGCTGCTCGCCGTGTATCGCCAAGGCTTTCACTTGCCCGCGGCCGAATGGATCGAGACGGTGCTGCGCGCGTACGCGCACCGCGTCCTGCACGTTCTGGGATACGATCTGAGCGTCGACGTGCGCGCCAGTATCCTCGGCGTCGCTGCGATCGCAGGTCTCTTCGACTCGGCTCTCGATCTCATGGCGAGCGAGCGACTTCTGTACGTGGTGCCTTCCGTGCTTTTGTTTCTTCAGTCCCTTCCCACGCCAGCGCCACCCGATGTCCTGGCTCCGTGCTCCAGTTTGCTGCTTGCGCTGGCGTCCGACGTTGACCGCGCGCGTCGGCCTGCCAGAGACGACGATACGGTCCGTGACTACTACGCCGCAACGCTGGACGATGCAATGGACGCTCCGATCGACGTCACGTTGTGGCTGGACGCCTTTGCGTTTTTCGTTATGTTTGACCCGACAAACTTGCTGCGGTTTGGCACGGCGTGGGTCGCAAGTGGGCTGCAGCTCGAGCACACGCTTGTCTTGGACGTCGTCGTCCGCTTCTATGACCGGTTTCCTCACGAGATGGAGGGGTTCCTCGCGCTCGCAACGACGACGCTTCATGCGTTGCCCGACGTTGCTGACGACGATAGGGCCCGTCGGCAACGGCTGCAAGAGCTCCTCGATGCAGCTGAAATCTCAGCGCGCAAGCGTGCACGCGTCGAGTAGCGCTATGAGACTGTAAAATGCATGAAATAGAGTTTTCGAATCGGCGTAACCCGAGAACAAATGTACGGAAATGTCAATCAACCGCAGGAAGACAATGACGCGAGCACAAGGACTGAGCAATGAATGTGACGGTTGGCGAAACCTGCTTCATACAGCCTGCTACATGGTTGATATCAAACTCGTAATGACACTAGGGACGCGCTACAGGTCTAACCCCAAGGGTCGAAGCGAGGGCAAGTGGAGCTAGACGTCCCTTCTTACCTACGAGAATCTTGTCCCATGGACGTTGCAATGGTTGGTTCTTGTCATTAGTGTGCAACAGTCCCGCAGTGCTTCCGTGAGATGCGCTCTCGCCTCTCGACCAGCTCGAGCTGCGGATGACGTGGCATCATGATTGGTCACGAACCCATGACGTGGCAGGCTCAGGACCCAGTATGAGTGAACAGTGGTCACGGCAGGCGTAGTACTGCGCGATGCAAGCTAGTACTCTGACGCTAATATACCGAGTACACTGCATTGTACATGGCGTAGACTGTAAACCTAACAGCGTGGAGAATATGTCATGCAACCGTGCTGGTCCTAAAATGAGTCAACGCACTCGCATCTCCCAGCGGTTCTACCCGGACGACGAAGCGCACAGCTCTCTCCTAGCGTCTGTGGCTTCCTATGTGCATGCTATCGGCCTCGTACCAAGCAGCGAGCCAACGAAGCAAGAAGCAAGCACCGACCGAGATGGCCAGCGTTGGGTATCCGGATTGTTCTGTGAATTTAACCGGATGCGAGGTATTTGTATCCGGAGTGCATCTTGGTCAGATCCCAACGTTGGCGATGGTCCGGACCCGAGCGATGACGCAGGCGCTCGGCGTGGAGCTCACCGACGTCCAGCGCTTCGAGGCCGCGCTCGCGCTCGTCAAGCCTCGGACGCTGGACCGACCGCGTCACAGCTTCTTCTTGGCCGCGCCGGTCGATCCGAAGCTGGCGCTTCCAGCCGAGAGCGACGCCGGCAGCGACGGCCACGCCTGTGCGACACAGGTGCCAGGCGACCGCATCTCCATTGTCAACCCAGCCTGGACAGACGTGCTCCATGGCCAGGTACGCGATATGATCCAGACGATGTTTGCCCCGTCCGGGTCGTTCTCGCTGCAACTCGCCTACTACTACAGCGCGAGCCGGTCCGGACCGCAAAAGCCATGGGCGCCTCCGACGCAGCCACCGGGAACGTTTGGATTCCTCTGTGTTGAGCTGCCTGTCGTGCCGGCCAAGACACCTGCGCGCTGCACTGTCTGGCTCTGCGGCGCGACAGCCGGTATCTCGACGCGCCGGCCATGGCTTGTCTACCACCTCGTGCTGGACGATGAGAACAGCAATGTCAATGCTCCAGCCGTCACAGCGCTCCTCGCACTCGCCTCTCGGCCATCGCCGAAGGTCCACGTCCTGTGCAAGACGATCACGACCCTGTCGGTCGCGTCCGGCGACCTCCACCCGCACGACAAGGCCATGCTCACCGCGCTGCTGGCGACGCAGGCGTACGACGTACTTCTCGTTCACCTGCACTGGACAAACGAAGCGGACCTTCCGCGCGTGGCCGCGTGGACGCTCCCGGACGGTGCGACGTTGTGCGACGCAGTGACCCACCACCCTCACTACTGCAAGATCGACGCCCGCCTGTTTGCGACCGGCTCCAAGCCTGCTTACGGCTTTGTTTTTTGGCCAACGCATCATCGCGCGCAGATCGCCCATCTCTCGGCGATTGCACGCTCGCTTGCAGCCGCCTCAGACGACGACGATACCATCGACCTCTTTGGCCAGCCGTCGGTCGAGGCTCTCTTTGAGGCTGTCATGACGCGCCTCTGTCCCGAGAGTCAAGCCTTCAACTGCCGCTGTGACGACGTTGTCGCTGTCTACGCAGCCCTCGGGAACGCGCACCGTCTCGACTGGATCGAGCGATTCTTGACGCTCGTTTTCCAGACGCCGATGAATGGCGACGCGGCCCTGATGAACAACATGGGCCATTTGATCTCTCGGGACGTCGCCGTCTTTGGCTGGTCGACAATGGAGCCGATTCTCACCAAGCTTCTCCAGCGCTGGGTCAAGGCGAGTCGCTACGTGCACATTGCGAATGGGTGTCGCCTCGTGGCCAGCATCGCTGGAGTCGCGATCCGCCCGATCTGTGCTCCGGTCAAGGCGCCCGGCATCTCGGAGTGGGTCGTCGAAGCCTACACGCTCTTGGTGGATGGCGCGGCCGCCGTCGACGGCGAAGACACGTCGCTGCGCTACTTCCACGCGATTCCACGCGACATTTTGGAGCTGAGCTTTGCGCTCGACGCGTACGTGGCCCGGCTGCCCGTGACGCACCGGTGGTTTTATGGCCACTTGCCCAACGACATTGTGACGTCGATCGCAGCGATGCGCGGACCGGCCACGAACTTTCGCAAAGTGCTGAACCGCGTCCAGTACTCCAAGGTGCGGGCGCTGGCCCCGGCCGTGGCCATGGCGTACCAGCAAGGCCTCGATGCACTCGCTGCGCCGTGGGTGCCTGTTGTTTTGGACGCCTTTGTGCCGCCAAATGACATGTGCTGGATGTCGGTGGACGTCCTCACGTCGCTGCTGGTCGTCAGTGTCGTCGGCGACCGCTTGCTCGAGGTCGCTGGGTCCATGGTTGGCATCCTGCATCTTCGTATTGCCCCCGCGATCCTCTTGCTCTTGCGGGACTGGCCAGCGCTTGGCACGCCCGATTTCATTGCGCAGTGCAGCCGCCTCTTGCTGGTCGTGGCCACATCGGGCGGCGATGTGGTGACCGACATGGCAGCTACGAGCCACGATCCTGTGCTGGCCTACTATGCCGATGGCCCCGACGCCCAAGCCCTCAGCGGTGTCTCGGTCGGCGTGGGCATTGCGCTGGACGCGTTTGCGTATTTGGCAGCCTTTGATGCCGTCAACTTCGCTCCATTTTTGACGGCGTGGGTGGCCGCTGTCGTCCAGCGCCCAGACCAGCTCCGCGCAGTGCTGTATGAAGTCACACTGCGCTTTCCGACCAAGTTTCCCGACCTCGATGACGCCTTTGAGATTCTTGCGACTACGACGCTCGCGACGCTGCCGATGCTCTCGGACGTCGACCGTGACCAGCTGAAAGCCTTGATGACTCGAGAACAACGTCGCAAGCGCCAACGGGTCGCCTAATTCCCTCAACAAGGAGCGTATTGTATCCGGTTGGTAGGTTGGTGCGCAGTTGTGGTCGTGCAAGTTCCTCGTTGGTATATGCGAGTCCGCTCTGTCACGCAGCCAACTGAGCTCGAGCGACGCAACCATTGCGTTGGACCAGGCATCGGGAACGAGTACTTTTTATGCGCGACGCTGACGCTTTGGTGTTGACGCGCTTGCGTCGCGCTGTGTCGCCATTTGCATCTCCAGGTCGGCGATCGTGGCCGGGATGCGGGGCACCATGGCCCTTTCATAGCACGAGGTGTCCCACTCGTCGTCTTCGGCATCCCCGTTAGAGTAGCTCTTGCACAGTGCGATGGCAGAATGCCGGCTCGCCGCGTCCAGTAGCTGGCGACACAGCGGCGCATCGTCGACGACGAGTGCGGCCACTGGCAAGAGCACCTCGTCCGTCACTTGCAGCGTCTTGGGCAGGCGGTGCAGCCACTCCTCGACAAACGCTGGCAGCTGCGCGGGGGCAAGCAACCGGAGGAGCTCGATCGCATCGCGCACAAGCATGTGCTGCTTGGGCGTCTTTGGCTTCGAGAACAAGTCGTCTCGTGTACGATAATGCTGCCTTTCCGGGCGCGGTGCCAGCGGCACCTTGACGAGCGCCGGGACCACCGCAGTGACGTATGCCACGACCTGCGACGCAAAGCCGATCGGAAGCAAATGCTTGTGCTTGGTGACGATCCATCGCACGCCCGGCAGGAGACCGGCACCATAGACCTGGATCAAGGCGTCAAACATGGTGTCGTCGCGTGGCTCTTCATGCAGTGCAAGAAAGAGAAAGCTGGCGGCGGCGTCCAGGTGCGCTTCGACCAAGCGATGTGACGCGTCCGATCGCGCGTTGAAGCCATCGAGCACACGCGTGATCCACGGCGTGCGCGCCAGCGCTGGGTTGCATTTGATGGCGGCTGCGAGTCCCACGGCCATGTTGGCGTTCTTGAACGGCGAGAAGAGCCGGTCGATCGAGGGTGGGGACGGCAAGGCAAAGCCGTCGACGACCGAAACTAGCACCGGTGGGAGGTGGTCGCCCAAATAGTTGGCGTACGCGCGCTCGGGCGCCGTGTGGGAGACATATGCTTCGAGAAGGAGACAGTACTTGACAATCGCAGCCTCACGACGGACCTCGCGATACCGGAATCTGAGTTGGAGACTCGCCCAGCAGCGCTTGAGGAGCTCGGCGCTGTGCTTTTGGCGCAGTGGTGGACACAGCGGGTCGTCGTCAAGACCGGCTAAAGTCGCCAAAAGATCCAGCACATCCGCAACGTAGAATTCGGACCAGCGCAAACTGAGCGTGACCAAAGCAGGTACGAACGGCGCGCATCCATGTGTCGTCAATAGCCCGTGCAGCCACTGCGCCACTTCCAACAAGGACACGTAGTCCTGGGTACAGACGCAGTCGGCAACAAAGCGAAACGTGAGCTCCAAGTCATATCGCTGCGCCAAGAGCCGGGACATGGTCGACAGCGGCGTCTCCGCGGGTTGGCTTCGCCATTGCCTGAGCTCCGTCTCCTCGCACGCCCGGTACGCGCAAAACGTTGTCATTGCGACTTGCAAGATGACGTCAACGTCGGTAATACCAAGAAAGCTCGTGGGCCGAGGCGCTGCTGCTTGGTTGTCGCTGTCGTCACTGTCTGCGATGTCGTTGTTGTCGCTGTACGTGCTTGGCGGCTCGAGAACGAGCACCTTGGCCAAGGATGCGAGTGCCTTCTCGCGGTCGACCATTGCAATGCGGCGGTGGGTGGGCCAAAAGACGAGTGCGTGCCGCGCACCTCTCCCGCGCTGCGGCAAGGAGACATCCAGTGTACGACGCATGTACGCTTGACCCAGCTCCTTTGGCGCACCGCACGCAGGGTGTAGCTGCAGATCGCGCATGCTTTCATCATAAGCATCGTACGAAGCTAGCGCGACGTCATAGCACTTGGTAGCCAGAAGAACGGTGACGAGCCCCTTGTCGATACGCTCGAGGTGCTCAAACAGCGGAAATCCACACGAGTCATCTTGCCGCGCGATGACAGGCAGACCAATGCGCTGGACCCGGTCCAACGGCGAGGCCGCAAGTGCCGTTAACGCTGCAATGGCCGGTTCTTGGTTCGGCGGCGCCAGTCGCATATCCTCGTGCGCCTCGTCGTAGACCAAGCGAAAGATCAGCGCGACGCGGCGACCAGCCGTGATCGGCGCCGACGAGATCGACGTGCTGAGAAAAGCCGACGCATAAGCCGTGGTGCCGCGCGACGTCTCGGCGTCCAAGGTCGTAGTCCCGGTGCCGTACGTAAACGTAATGGCGCCGCCAGTGCACATGGACGGGACGAGGACGACGAGCGAGCCAAACGTGTGGCCCTGTGCTGGAAGCACCTGCAAGGCGGCGGCGTCGCCAACGCTGTCGACGGCAGCGTGCGAGAGCACGAGCTGGATCTCGCCCGTCGGCGCCAAGCGCTCTGCAATGTCTTTGCGAATTGTACGGAGCATCGCGTGGTAGCTATCGTCGTACACGAGCCGGAGGTTGGTTGCGGCGACGATGCCTGACGGGTAGAGCACCTCCACTGCGTCGCTTGCGCGGCGCAGAGCGGCCATGCGAGCGGCTCGTCCATGCCATGGACGTAGATGAGGAACGGCGTCGACGGCGGCAGCGTGCCCGTGAAGGCGAAATCGCCGGGCTCCTGGACCAGCGCCATCGCGGCTTCGTACCGGCTCGTCATGCAGAAAGTTCAACCAACGTTATGATGGCTTGCCCATCGTCACCATGTTATTTAATATATATAATAAAGAGCAGATACGAAGCGCTTTTTAACAAGGCAACAAAGCCTGGCGCGCAAGTGCAAGTGCGGGACGCGACGAACGAGAGTCGTGTTGGGCGCCCAAGCGACATTCGTTTGGGAGCTCTATCAAGGGATGAATTCCTTAGCTAAATGACCTCTGAGTACATAATAGCTAGGGCTTGAAGCTCGACGTGTCACTCGAGAATGAGCTTGGCAATGTCATCGTCGATCCTTGTGCCTTTGATCAATGGGACGAGGCGGATGAGCGCGTCGCACGTGCTTGAGCTTCGTGGCCCAAACACATAGCTTGACACATTAAATCGCAATAGCACCGTCTCGACACGTGGTCAAACCGCACTCTGTCGCCTTTGTCCTTGGTCGTGGCCACCCGTTGCACGGCATTCGCAAACTGTGGCGGGTGATTGCTCACAGGCTTTGGAAGTGTAATCGGCAGCTTCGTTGCCGTAATCGTAGTCACAATCACTGCTGTGTATCCGTCGCCGAAGGTCGAACGAGTGCGCAAGCATTTCGTCTTGCATTTTCAATGTGATCACGAAGCGCGCGAGTAGGCGGGGGACGCGGCGGAAGTTTGAGTTGTGACCAGCTGGTCGGCGCCATACGATTGGTTAA